AGAACGATTAATTAGAAGAGCTCACGATCCTTAATATACAAATAATTTCAAATAATGGTATGGCCTATCACAAGATATCCAGCACAACATCAATATTTAGTCTTTGGACAGAAATATTGACTTGTAAGTTGTACTCTTGTTGTAGTGATCAAACAATGACAATAAAGAAACATGTCAATCAATAAACATTTTTTTGGACCGATTTATTGATCACGCGTTAAACCAAATAGTGCCACATGTTTATCACCACAAGTATATGTGCAATTCGGCCAAACATTGACTTTCTTTTGGGCCGATCAAATATTTGCATGAATAATACACATAAATACCTTTTTAGTTAATTTCCACAAGAAAGGTTGCTTTGGCAACATGTTGCTTCAATTAATTTACTTTCGAATATTATATCTCTTAAAAGAGTCCTNTAATTCATTTTCGAATATTATACCTTTCAAAAGAGTCCTTTGTACCATAATTTGAAAATGAAAATCACCAAATTTGCATATTTGATTTATTTTGAAACTTTATGGGCCTAATGGTTATTAATTCAGAACTTTAGGGATCAAAAAATTAATTATCAAGAACTTTAGAGGTCAAAAATTAATTATCTGAAACTTTAGGAGTCAAAAATTAATTATTTGAAACTTTAGGGATCCAAAAATTAATTATTCAAAACTTTAGGGCCAATTTCAACCAATTATGAACTTTTAGGGGCTTAATTACAAAATTCAGAACTTTAATGGCCCAAATTAATTAATTTTCATACTTTAAGGACTAAATTATTAAATCCAGAACTTTAAAAACCCAATAGGATGAATTTTAACTTTAAGGGGCTGAATTACCAAATTTTTAAACTTAAGGAGCTGAAATATTAAAAATTAGATTTTAAATATTGCAACCCTAACCCTAATTCTTAAATTGCAACCAAGGATCTTAAATCTTCAAATTTACAACACAAGTCCCCGCCCTAAAAACTTCAAAAATCTGGAAACCCTAAAAATCTTTTTTTTTAAGGACCCAAGGGCGGCGCAACGCAGTCCCCAAACCCAGCAAAACGGCAAGCGCTGCCCACCTATAGCGGTGTTGTGCACACGCAGAACCGTACACGGTGCTGCAACGTAATCAGCACCCGATAGCGCACTTATAGAGCCGCGCGACAGCATTAAAATTTTTTTTCTTTTTTTTTTTTTAAACTGAAATTCTGAGCCATATGCCGAAAAAATTTTCAAATACAAAAAACTAAATCCAAATTGCTAAATTATCACAAGAACGAAATTAAAAATTCGATTCTCAATTATTCAACATTAATTGCCTCTAATACCACTTGTTGAGAAAAATTTTTACCGTCATATTGATTGTTCATGTTGGATCATCAACCATTTGTGAACTAAAGCAGAATCGTACCTGAATTGGACATGGTTATCGTAATGGATAAATCATGCGGTTTTAGTCTTTCACATCAACATGTAGTTTTTTATTTCTTCTTTGATGATGGGAGTCAAAACAGAATGAACAATTCACGTGTGATCCAGGGACCATAACTGNTCAAGAATCTTACTCGATTTGTTTGAATGCCACAAGAAATAATCTTGATAAGTTTAAAATTAATTCAATGAAGAACGAGAATAAAGCAATATGTCTTGCAATAATAACTCTCAAAATTGTGTGTTTTACAATGAATAGAATGAGTCATATTTATAGGGAACCCATAAAACTTAGTTAGAAAAGGGAATTAAACTCTAAGAAATATATATTACAAAATAGAGTTTTAACTAAAATAAAAGGTTGAGGATGTGCTCATTAAGGTTGGAAGCTGATATTCCCAGTGGACTTCCTTATTATAGACCTCAAAGACGATCACGATATGCCATTATCTTAGGTCAACCCTTTTTAGCAACAAGTCGAACTTTGATTGACATAGAGAAGGGTGAGATGACCGTAAGGGTAGAGGACGCACATGAGATCTTTAAATTACATAATCTACCCAAGCAACCATTAGTCTTGGATGAGGCCAAATATATTGTTGAAGAAATTCATCAAAGGTCGAATGAGACAAAAGGTAAACTTCTAGGGAGCCTTACTAGAGAGGATAATAGAGAGTTCAAGGTTTGGAGGGCAAAAAGAAGATGTAAAGTTCGAAATTGCAAGGACTGTATGGCTGGAAGACTCCAGCGTGAACCCCCATGAATAGTCCCTCCATACAATCTAGCTGTTGCCATACAAAAATGGGGCCCAA